AATCGCAAAAATTCCTGAAAATTGCAAAAATTGCAAAAATTCCTGAAAATTGCAAAAATCGCAAAAATGCCTGAAAATTGCAAAAATCGCAAAAATTCCTGAAAATTGCAAAAATCGCAAAAATGCCTGAAAATTGCAAAAATTCCTGAAAATTGAAAAAATCGCAAAAATGCCTGAAAATTGCAGAAATAGCAAAAATTGCAAAATTTCCTGAAAATTGCAAAAATTTCTGAAAATTCCAAAAATCGCAAAAATTCCCAAAAATTGCAAAAATCGCAAAAATGCCTGAAAATCGCAAAAATCGCAAAAATGCCTGAAAATTGCAAAAATTGCAAGAATTCCTGAAAATTGCAAAAATCGCAAAAATTCCTGAAAATTGCAAAAATCGCAAAAATTCCTGAAAATTGCAAAAATCGCAAAAATTACTAAAAATTGCAGAAATTGCAAAAATTCCTGAAAATTGCAATAATTGCAAAAATTCCTGAAAATTGCAAAAATCGCAAAAATTCCTGAAAATTGCAAAAATCGCAAAAATGCCTGAAAATTGCAAAAATCGCAAAAATTCCTGAAAATTGCAAAAATTCCTGAAAATTGCAAAAATCCCAAAAATTCCTGAAAATTGCAAAAATCGCAAAAATGCCTAAAAATTGCAAAAATCGCAAAAATTCCTGAAAATTGCAAAAATTGCAAAAATTCCTGAAAATTGCAAAAATCGCAAAAATGCCTGAAAATTGCAAAAATCGCAAAAATTCCTGAAATTGCAAAAATCGCAAAAATGCCTGAAAATTGCAAAAATTCCTGAAAATTGAAAAAATCGCAAAAATGCCTGAAAATTGCAGAAATAGCAAAAATTGCAAAATTTCCTGAAAATTGCAAAAATTTCTGAAAATTCCAAAAATCGCAAAAATTCCCAAAAATTGCAAAAATCGCAAAAATGCCTGAAAATTGCAAAAATCGCAAAAATGCCTGAAAATTGCAAAAATTGCAAAAATTCCTGAAAATTGCAAAAATCGCAAAAATTCCTGAAAATTGCAAAAATCGCAAAAATTACTAAAAATTGCTAAAATTGCAAAAATTCCTGAAAATTGCAAAAATCGCAAAAATTACTAAAAATTGCAGAAATTGCAAAAATGCCAAAAATTGCAAAAATTCCTGATAATTGAAAAAATCGCAAAATGCCTGAAAATTGCAGAAATAGCAAAAATTGCAAAATTTCCTGAAAATTGCAAAAATTTCTGAAAATTCCAAAAATCGCAAAA